TTTTAACAACTTTAATTAAAATCTTTATAATTATAATTATTACATTAAATTTATCATTTTAATCTAATTAACAACTATAATCAGCACAGTTTATAACAAATTTAATTATTTTATGTTTAAGTTGGTTATTATCATTAGGTTAATATAATTTTTAAAATGTATTAGATGTTTAAGGTTAGTAACATTAATTATTTATTAAATAGTAATTATTAAATTCATTAAGTAAGTTGTATTTACTTATTTTTAGACTCATACATAAATCTTAAAGTATAATTGCTTCGTTTCATTGTAAATTTTCATTCAAATAATAAATATCAAAACAAAATGAGATTAAAATGAAGCATTTTATTAAATATTTTTAGTGCATCCAGTTGCACAATTTTATGGACTATTCATTATGACATTTAGTATGTGTTTTATTTGAATTTAAATACAATTGAAAAATGCAAATAATACATGAAGTATCATTTGTACAGTTAAAGATGCATTTGATATAAAATTCAACTCTGCATTTCTTGAAAGTGTTAGCACTAAGTTAATTTTGATTTAAGATATTGTCCAGTACCACATACTTAACAATTTATATTTGATGTTCTACAAAATGAACAAAATTCGTTAGAATCATTGCATTGTTTACTATCTGCAATGTATATTACTATTATCAGATAAAAACCATGACAAAAACCTTAAAAATTTAATATAAGAGTTACATGGTAAAATCCAGTTTAACATTTTGTTGGTCCAATTGATTGGCAAGTAGCACGAGGTAATTGATATTGAGAACATGAGTTATCATTAATTAATTAATTTATAAAATCATTGGATGCTTCTCCAGGAAAGTATCCTAAACATGTTTTACTACCATTCATAAAAAAGCCATCAGAACATTTCCTAAAGTATAAATATTACATAATTTTCCATTATTTACTAGTAAATACATTGAAAAAACTAAAGCGATTTCAAGAAGGGCTGGAATATAATGATTTAGCAATTTAAAATAATCCTGAAATTGCTGATTTTTATTATAGCAAATACGTTGAAAATTTTATAACGATTTGAGGAATCATTATAATATTATGATTTTGCAATATAAAAAACCCTCAAAATTACTATGCTTATTTTAATAAAGGTAAATCAAATTTATAAAAAGTAGCAATTACATTTGAGAAATTAAATCGATTTGAAGAAACTTTATAATTTTATAATTATGCAATTTAATAATAAAGGTTATTTCCTTGATAATAAAATATAGCAAATATATTGGAGATTTTAAATCGATTTGAAGAAGCCTTATAATTTTATGATTATGCTATTTATAAAATATATAGATTTTGCTGATCCATATATTTATAAAAGTAAAATTTACTTAATTATTAAATCTAACAAATACATTAGCAAAGTTGAATCGATTTGTAGAAGCACTATAACATTATGATTATGAATTTAATTAAATCCTGAAAATTACTCAGCTTTTTCAGTAAAGGTTAGAAATACTTTGTAAAGAAATATATAGCAAACACATTATAGAAATTAAATCGATTTGAAGAAGCATTATAATATTATGATTATGTAATATAAAAAAAACCCTGAAGATTACAAAACTTATTTTAATAAGGGTAAGATTTATCTGAAAATATAACATAGCCAATACATTGAAACAACAAAATCGATGTGAAGAAGCGTTATGATACTATGATTATGCAATTTAAATAAATCCTGAAAATGCCTTGATATATAATAATAAAGATAAATTTACTTGAGAACATACTTTAGCAAATCTGTTACTTAAGTTAAATAGATTTGAAGAAGCGTTATAATATTATGATTTTTAGTCATTAATTTTGAGTAGCTGAAGAAAAATACTACTAGCTACTGGTTTATTTTCCTTTTCCCCATCGAACCAAGAACCTACAGTTAGCAAACTGCTAGTCATTCGAAAATTGGTATCATCAGTACTTAGGGTCATATTTCCCGCGAGATCTCTTGTCATCAAATTGAGTTGAGAGAAATTCTCGATGCGATTCTGCTTGGTTTTCGATGTCCTCTCATCTATCAATTGTTTAATAAAATATTAGTATTTGTTAAGAGACTAAAGACAGCAAAAGAATTAAATCTTGCAATTTTAAAGTGATCAAGCTATTTTAAGATTGATAAATCTAACTTTTTTATTTAATATCATCAATTTCTTAGATTTCAAATTTGAAGAAATGATAAAAGCTTAAAATAAGAGACCATTTTGATTCATTCCAATTTCAATTTTTAACGAATTTTTATTATAGATTTTGACAATAAGAATGATTAGTTTAGCCTTATAAGGAATAGTATAAAGTTATAATACATATTAAAAGATTTTAAATTTCCTTTCAATTAAGTTTCATCCACTTATAAATATTTATTCATTCCTTTGAAATATACTGTAACTTTCTTATTTTTATAATAGATTATTATTGTTTTATAAACAAGTTAAAATAAAAAAATAAGCCTAATTAGTTTTACTAAATGAAGTGATTAAAATTATAGCAATATCAAGAAATATAAGATCTAGATAAAGTTTCTATTATGATTAAATTAATAATCAGTTTTTTCAAAAAGATCTCTCAAGGTATAATTAACATTATTTTTACTCTACTACTAACTCTTATTAATATTAACACGTATTTTTAATCAAATCTTTTCTATAGAAACATAAATTAATTCATATTTATGTTTATTTTTGAGCAATTTTTATTTGATGGGATACAGTGTTTTAAAAAAATAAAATAAAACTAAAATTGTTTGAATGCCAATTTTATAATTTTAAAGAAGTAGATTAAATGCAGACTAATTACTAATTAATTGGTAATTGAATAAGAAAATAAAAAAATTATACCAGTTTATTAACTTTTTCTCCTTGTTTTAATCTGATAATCAATTTATCTCAAACTTAAATTATAACAGGGTTCAATTAAAGAATTATGTAGTTCTAATATAATAAGGTGAAGTAAATGATGGTATTAATATTCAAGGAAGTTTTAATCGAAATAGTTAATAATCCAACATTTATGAAGGTAACTGATTAGTTTGTAAATCTAAGAATATTTTGATAGTAATTGCTAGGAAAATGATGTGAAACAGCAAACTTAGTATTATTATAATGAAGGTATCATTCTTAAACAAATTAAAGGTGTTGCTTTATTTCAATAAAATAAATATTAGGAGGCTATAGGATTTTTTAACAAAGCTATTGATTTAGAGCCAAATAAATGGAACTATCATTATCAAAAAGGTGAATTAATCATTATTAATCTAAAAGGTTTAGCCCTATTTTAATAATAAAAAAATTTGGCTGCAATTTAATGTTTTGATAGAGTAATAAAAATAAAACCATATGATAGCCATCCTTATTTTTATAAAGGTAAATATTTTTTTTATTTTAAGGCCTATCATTAAATAAATTAAGAAGATATGATGAAGCAATTGGATGCTTTAATATTGTGTTAATGATTGAGAAATCTGATTCCTAAGCGTTTTATAACAAAGGTAGTAATAATCAGTGTATTAAAAATCTATTTAGGCTTATCTCTATTTTAATCGTAAAGATACTAAGAAGCGATAACATGTTTTGATTAAGTTGAATTAGAAGAAGATTGCAATGCTAATTTTTACAAAGGTTTATCTCTACACATTAATATTTAATTAGGATAAGCCTTAATGAGCTTGAAAAGATTTTAAAATGCTATAACATGTTTTAACAAAGTTATATAAAAGGACCCAGAAAATATCGAATCTTAAAATCTAAAAGGTAGATAATTTTTGATAAATTCATAAGGCCTAGCTCTAAATTAATTAAATTAAGATACAGAAGCAATAAACTGTTTTCAGTAATCAATTCGATTAAATCCAAATGATAGTTTTCCATATTACAAAAAGGGTTAGAATTTCAATAAATTTCATTTAGGTATATCTCTAATTGCCTTAAATCAAAATAAGTAAGCGCTAGCATGTTTTGATCAAGCTATTGCAGTCGATTAAGATAATGATGAAATCTATTATTAAAAAGGTGAATAAATTGTTGCATAATAATTTTTAGGTTTAGTATTAGTCCAATTAAATCGATTTTTAGAAGCTATAAGATGTTTTGAAGAAGCTGTATTAATCAATCCAAAAAACGCTAGCTCCTTAAATTAAAAAGGTAAATTGATTTTTTTAATTTATTTATTTAGGCTTAGCATTAGTAAGTTTGAATAGACATTATGAAGCTATTAGCTTTTTTAAGAAGGCATAATCCATTGACCCAGCAGTAATGTATATGAGAAACTTAGGTAAAGTTTTTTATATATTTTAGCTGATACTTTACTATACTGCGGAAGAAAAGCTGAAAGCAAATATTGGTATCTGATAGCTAGATAAAATATTGAGATTATAAAATAAAAAATTTGAAACTTTATTCAAAAATTTTTATGATATTAAATAA